GTTTCGTTTGTGGGATGAAATTTTTGATATAAGCCTATATAATATATACCAATTTAGTTATCATGAGATGCAGAGAAGTACAAAGAAGTACGGAGAAGTACCGTGAAGTACAACGAAGTACAGAAGTCTGCTTTTTCCCCCTTGGAAAAACGAAGAATCTTTGTTATGGTTGAAGTATTTAGTGCATTCATTCAAGGATGTTTTCTGCACTTGATAATTATTAATAAATTGCATTTATGATTATATAGATAAATCTTTCCTAATCTTGACTAATTTAGAATTCTTTGGTTTAAAATAAAGCGACGTCAACGTGCTATGGAATATACCATTTCTTCATTGCGAAGTAAAGTTGATTTTGGAATAGATAAGAAAGTATTATATTTCTTCTTGCAAGGGGATTGCGTGTTATTTTTAAACTGCATTTATTTGCTAACTTGTTATAAAGGTGAGTAATAACAACGGAGAGATGCCTACAGTTATTTGCATATAAATCGTAAATCGAAGACGACGGCTGTCGGTATTTGTAAGTAACGTTCTCAAATGGCAACTGCGAGTGAATGTAAGAGAATTCAGATAACGATCAGTGGTATACCGTTTCTATGTGTTACAATTGATCCAAGTATGCCTTTGTCTGCTTTACGAGCTGCCATTAACCAGTGTCGGTCCATAGGAGAGCAGCAGCTCTTCTTAGATACAGATAAGTATCCAATTGCGAACAAAGATGAAGCGACGATCCGTATCGAAGAAATAGTGAAGGATGGTAAAATGATGTTACAAGCCATAGAACAAGCCATAGAACAATCGGAGGCAAACAAAACTTTTTTAAAAGAAGATACCAAACGTATATTTCCATCTGCTACCACTGAAAATTTTGACGCATTTCCTTCATTTGATGTACCGTTGCGTCCGGTAACGATGCCGGGTAACGCATCTTCAGCAATGCCGTCAGCACGAGCGGAGCACTGCCTCGAAACCTTTGATCGTAACATGTGGACAACCGTATTTCACACGTGTAGACTGTTTAAAGGTTTACTGTTTGACAATGACATATTGAAACCTAGCCAATACCCGATCTGCAAGTTGAGTAGAAACTTGACAACATCAGATTATAACTCTCATACGACATCTCGAGTTGAATCCTATTTGACAAGTAATGAACGACAAAATAAATTTATACGAAGTAAACTCATCAAATTAGATGCCAGCTTTAATGCTCCAGTTGCGACGCTACATGCTAGTGCCACCAATCATCAACAGCAAACAGAAATGCGTGGGAAAAAAACATTATATACAACTTGTGTATGGAACTTTCCACGAGTTGAAGTGTTTCTGTATGCTGAAGAAGAGAACAGTCAATATCTCGAGCCAACAGAACAATTTGAACAAGCAGTGGAAGCAGCGTTGCTTTTGCCCACTTTATACCAACAAGAAATGAAGTTAAAAAAAGTTTTCAATCACTACGGTCAATTTTATCCAAAAGTCGTCATTCTTGGTGGACAAGTGTTCCAAACAGATACGCAGACCGTAGATGTAACTGAGAACGAACAAAAACATAAGAATATGGTAGAAGCAGGATTCAAAGCCGCTATTGGACTTTACAGTGGTGGAGCTGGTGGAGGTGTCAGCTCAAATGAACAGACAAGTAATCGATCAACAGTGCAACAGTCAAGTACGGCGCTCGAAACTGTTGGAGGAGATACTTTGATCGGTTCAAATACGAGTCAATGGTGTGTGAGTGTTGGTGACTATACAAAATGGGATGTGATTGAATATGGAGAGTTTATATCAACATATGAATTACTCAGACCAACGCTTCGAAGTAGAGTCAAAGAAGTATTAAAGATTCAACAAGGTCGGCGACTACGAGCAGAAAGTAAGCAGAAATTTATATTATTGACGTGTAATTATAAAATGATTATCATTGTATTTTAATAGTTAAACGGCGAAGATTTTTGAAGATCTTTGATCTGGAACGCATTCAATCTATAATTTGTGAAATCTACAGATCAATGAATCTCAATGACTTCTTACTTAGCCGCACTTTGAAACTCTATAAGGGACTATCAAAGCATGAATCGAATAGAAATATACATCATATATCTGTTTTCGATGTGTCCGCTACAGAATTATCTCAATATCTGGTCACAATAGACAATGACGACGTTCAACAGCAATGTTCTGTAGCAATCAATAACTTCATCCAACGTCCGTTGACAGATGAGTTACTACGTCATTGTTACCGACTGCAAGTTAGTGAAATCGGTAGCGAATCATCGATTGAGGTTAGTTTCGGTGAACCATTTTGGGATCCTACAGTTCTGTCCGAAGGTGTCTTCGGTAAACTATTATGCAAACGGGATGTGAATGGCAAATACAGCATAAACATTGTGTATATCGAACTTACACTGGAGAAAAAGCCTGCAATATTTAGATCTGATGTCGCCGTCACTTACATACTGGAAGCACATTTTAAGCAAGCAAGCTCGTTCAATAAGGTTCAGAAAGCCTTAGCATTTTCATGGCCAGTTGAACTTCGATTAGCCCAATGTCAGAGTTCTGTTTACGATGATATTAATAAAAATGTGGGAACATCAAATATTCGTTCGCTCTATGAAACTTTGAATCGTGCTGCTCTGCAGATGTAAAAACGCTTTTTTTTCGAATAAAAAAATATATTGTGCACTCTGATTTGCCACTATTACAGAATTTCATTTATTATACTAAGACAACTTTACGAAACAACAAAAATTTCTCACAGAATATGAAACATTTAGTTTACAAATAAGAAGTTCTAATGTTTAGGTATAACTCCGTTGACACGTTTTTGTGAGGCAGCAATAGTTGACGTCGAAATTCCGGTTCCTTTTATAAACAAAACAGCATCATATCAATACAACACTAATTTCAAAACTTACTATTCTGCTGATGAACTAAGCAAGTCCAAATTCGTGCTAGTTGTTTGCGGAAAACATCCCGAAAAAGTTTACTTGCAAGTGTACATAAACAAATGATTTGGCATAATTAATATAATACATCACTGTACCCAATTGTGACATGAATGATTCAATAGCACGTGATTTACTGTCTTTCGAAATATCTCTTGTTAAATACTGGTAACCGATGACCGCAGTGCGCATTGATAACAGTGTCATACTAAGAATCACTTGTATAAACATCAAGACGATTAACGAACGATCAATGCGGTGGTGTTGGTGCTGAAATGGCATAACGCGGGCTTTCGATTTTCTTATTTGAGCGAACGTCGTCATACTGGCGATAAACATGATTGTATACGGTATAAGTGTGAACCATATCACTAAAAATAAACTTACAAATGTCGAATAAACACCTGGTCGTGAAACGCATATATTTGAAACTCCGTTCAGTGTATAAAAACCGTAATATATGAGCATATGTGATGGTGAAACTATGGAAATGATAGCAGAGATAATCAGCAAACGATGGGCTGCTTTGATTGTCGTCCAACGACGCCATTGCATCGAACCTGACGTTAACAAGCAGCGATCGACCGATGCCAAAACGATACACGACGTTGATAACATCGGGAAAACAGCCGTTAGATAAACACGCATTTTGCAAAAGACCTCGGATTGATTTGGTAGTACATACGAATAATGGTCGACTAATAATCTCAATACACCACAGATTAACAACGTGAAAAGATCGAATACAGCAGAGCATAGAAAGTAGAACGCACATGCATTCTGCCGTAATTCTTTAGCTGAAAAAGTTAGGACGTTGCACAAAGCACCGATGGTTCCTAGAATAATTGTCGCATAGGGAACATATAACGTAACTTTACCAATCGTTTGAATAAGTATGGTGATGGAGCTATCCGTCATGGTTAGTTTTAAAAATGAACGAACTCCTTGACTTAGATGTTGCTTAATGACGAAGAGCGATTACTACGAGAGTATATTAATGCCGGAGATAGATAAATAGAGAATTAATAAAAGTAGAACGTCGAAATAAAACGGAGAAATATTGCTACCTGAAGCAAAATGTGTTGCTCGCACTGTTTGTTATATGAATGAAAATTGCTAGCGGAGAAAGTCTGATGTGCGTTTTTTTATTGATATTTTACTCAAAAATAGAAAGTCACTTGCGCGAAGGCGTATTACATCTTCATTGGTTTCAACAGTTTGAACTTTTTCATGATTAATAAACTCAATAGATTAAAATCTGTCAACATTATGAAATGAATCTGTCGGTTGTTGATGAATCGAATCTGAGCTCTAAAATTTACAAAGTTAAATTGTACGAGTTGAAGTCTAACTTACGGAATCGGTCGATGCCGAATGACTTCCATATTGTCCACAGCAAAAATTGCAACAGCAACAACAAAAACAAGCACAGCAGCATCCGCAACCAAAGCAACACCCCGTGGCTAGAAAAGCAGCGAGTAAACCAATCTTTTTACACGTTGATAGCTTCGAGAATGTCTCCGGGTATCCTAAAACAACAAACAAATCAATAGTCTCCATCGAGTTTGTCCTACCTTCATACTGATCGGCCATATCCGCAGCTAAGAATACAAAAAAAAGCACTTATTTCCGGCATAAGGAAGTAAGCAACCAACCAACCCTGTGAACCTAAAAGATCATAAGTTCTTTTCAAGCTCGGATTACTGAGGACTTTATAAGCTTTTGCAACATCTTGGAATTGAGCCGTTGCTTGAGAATCGGGATTCTTATCAGGATCTAAAGCAAATCATTGTTTAAAACATACGAGATGCACAAAACTTCGTTTACGAAGTTGTAGCGCTAATCGTCGATAAGCTCGTTTGATTTCTTCATCGGTCGCTGTTCGACTGACACCAAGAATAGCATAATAATCTTCGTTGTTTCTTCAAATATTTATAAAACATAACACAATTTCCTTCAGACAATCATTTTTTACATACGTTCGATTCCGTCGAGATTGTGAAGCCATTTGCCATTGGTCTCCATAGAAAAAAACCTTTTTTGCTTGTTTTTCTTCCTTTCAAAAATGTACGCACGTTTTCTACGCAGAATGAATTTTTCTTTTCATTCTCACAAAAATTTGCATTGATTTTCAAAGAATATATTATGGAAGAAATGAAAATCATGCAAGGATAAATCAGAAGGAAAAAAGAAATTTCCAAGTAAATGGAACCTTTATTATTACAGTTTCAGTGTAAAGTATTTGCGATATTTTAATAATTCTCCTTCAACGACACCTTCATCACCGATCAATTTCGGATCTGCAGTTGTGGTAAATGGATTCAGACCATTTTCGAAAACAGCAAATTTGACCTTGCCATTGATTCTTCGGCCACGATTCGACAAGCGGAAGTGATAATCATGAATAACTACCGCACCATTTTCTTTCAAAAACAGCACATCATCAGTTTTGTAAAGATAACCGAGACCAGTCAATTGCATCACATTGTTTCCTAAACATTTGTAATAACCTACTCGATTACTTAGTGCAAAGCTNGCACATCATCAGTTTTGTAAAGATAACCGAGACCAGTCAATTGCATCACATTGTTTCCTAAACATTTGTAATAACCTACTCGATTACTTAGTGCAAAGCTTACACCGAGTTCAGCTGCATTGTTTCCGCCACCAATACTGAATAATTCATCGAACGAACCCTTGGGTTGAAGTCTCAATGCAGCGTAGAGTGGCTTCTTTCCCGGAAATGTAACTTTTAATTGATAAACTTTGTTTTCATATTGCCGACAGTCGTGATAATCATCATAGCTGCAGTTGATAAGGCAGATGAATGAAAGAAAAAGTAGAACAACTGACTTGTACATCGTGAGAATGATTTTCAACTTGAAGCGTGAATGAGTTTATAAAGAGTCAAAGAGGAGAGAGGGAGAATTTGCGTGGAATGCGACATTCTCTCACAATAGATGAAAATCTGTGTTAATCTCGTGATATGAGGAATTAGAAACATATTTTATTTGTACTGAGATGGAATTCTCATCACTTAAGTGATGCGCAGTGTAACTCGCAGCTCCTTCGAAGAAATATGTCAGTTTCGTATCGAGATTGAAGCTTTCACTCGACTTTCGTTGGCTTCTGCTTGTATAATACGAAAGAACAAAAGAAGCGACGCAATTCATAGATAAGACTGTATGTGAAAGCATGTCAATTGTACCGTTGTTCTTCACTATCGAGGGTCTGTAAACATCGATATGTTAGGTTTTTTTGTGTTTATCGATGAATAGCAGAGAAAGATTGTCATGAGTAGTTCGAATTTGATGAGCGATCATCTTGTGGATATTTCAACGACATTATCGTCTCGAGACAAACGCAAAGACAGTAATTTTGTAAGGAAAAGATATCAAATAGCAAGTTAACGATTTTATGTGAAAATTTTATTTAGTTAATCGCTACACTAGGGATTCAATCCTATGGAACAATTATTTGTAAGTAAAATCGATTCATTTCCGAAAGGAAATCTTACGTTTTTAGTCGGACGGAATCAATCTAATCGAGCGAATTTCATTCGCGTACCAGCCAATGCACCTCCGACATATGTCAAACAGTTACTTGTTCGAAAATGTGACAATAAAGTAAATGCGAAAGCTTTCTCAGAGATTGATAACTGTGTCTTCATCTTACAGCGTCCATCATTGGTCATCTCGATAACTGGCAGTTCAAGAGAATACGGTATGAAGTCGAAACTATTTCGAATATTTCGGAAAGGTCTTCTGAAAGTCGCCAAAACCACTGGTAGAATGTTCACGATTGTTTGCTTTCGTATTATCCGTTTTCGGTAGATGTTTGGATTATTACTGGTGGTGTTAATACAAGTATAACGAAGTTAATCGGGGAGATCATTCGTACAAATCCAGATCCATCTCGACCAATTCATCTAATTGTGAGTTTCAACGTTTTCCCGTCAAGTTCACACAAAAGATTTTGAATAAAATCAAGGGAATTGCACCTTGGGGATGCATATCTGGTGTTGAACAACTAGATGTACATGGAACGAATGTAATCTATGCGAAGTCAATGACCGATGAGAACAATGAAACACCTCTTGAACCTAATCATACTCAATTTATATTCATTGATAACGGCACGAAACATCAATACGGCGTGGAAACGGAATTTCGTACACAATTCGAAAAGTGCATATCTGGTGAAGCATTCAGTCTGCAGAATAATCAAAGTGAAGAGATGTCGACAAGTTCCTACCCACAATTAGGTAAAACTAATGTCGACGAAACAGTTCCACTTCGATTTTTCGTTATTAGATAGTGTTCCAGTTGTCCTTCTGGTGATCGATGGTGGATTTGAGACAATACAAAAGGGTTTGATCTTTTTGCAAACACCATTTGACCTAGTTCAGCTTTTGTTTTTAGTACACGAAAGTGTCATGAGAAACAAAATTCCCGTTGTGATGTTAGAAGGTACAGGCGGATGCTGTGATCTATTTGCTAAATGTTACCATTTGTATAACGAACATCGGCCACGAACACGAACATCTCAAGACACCAAGTTCGTCATAGAATTTTTCGAGAAATTGATCTTAGCCTTCGATTTCAGTTCTAATCCATTACCAGTCTCCGAACAAATGAAAGCAAAACTCCGGGAAAGGTTACGCGTAGTCTATGATGAATACAATCTTCATTTATTAGGCGATATGAATGAACATCTCGATTATTTTCAAATGATCTATGAATGTATTGATAGTCGAATGATCTTTTTAAACTTTATTAACTTTAAAGCGCACAGTCACATGGAGAAAGATGTTGACTTAGCGATTCTACAAGCATTGCTGAACGGTAAAAGTTGAACGAATAGATTTTCTTTACATGTGATATGTACGTATATTGTTTTAGCGACGAATTCGAGTGAGGCGAATGTGGAACAAAAACTCGAACAGTTAAATTTGGCATTCGAATGGAACCGAGTTGATATTGTTACAAGTTTTATCATGAAAACGGATCGAGACTGGATGGTAAACGTGAATTTTTTGTTGCGAAAGACAAAATGATTGGTTTTCTAGAAAATTAATCTGAGTGATTTGTTTTATAAAGCATTGATCAGAAATCAAACGAGTTTTATTCAACTATTTCTTGAACATGATTATTCACTCAACGATTTATTTCAAAATTCCAATCAACTTCTAACTCTCTATCAAAACGAAGTGAGATTTGTCATTGTTCGCAAATAAAAATCATTGAAAATGCTTTAGGATTATGTGTTTAAACATAGTTTTGACGATCCACTACGAACGATTTATAAGGATGTTATTCAACCACTAATTGGAGATTTCTTTGAAATTGACGCGGTATTTTCTCCACATAAAATACCTCAAACTTTATCAGAATTGAACAGTTTGTGGAGAACTCAATGTACAAACAAAGATTTCATTTGATTCTTTTAGCGACGATCTATATACCAACGGCGAATACGATCGATGTGGAAAAAGAGCTATTTCTCTGGGCGATCTTGACCGGCAAACAAGAACTAGCGTTATTGTTTTGGTCTCGAGGAAAGAACAAAGTTTGTAAGTCGAATTCACACTTGATGAGAACAATTCGAGTGAAAACCATTCAGGTGCGGCGTTGATCGCGACGTTGTTGAATAAAAGCAAAGCGCAAAAAGAAAAGGATTCACGCTATGACGAATGGGCGAATCAATTCGAAAATCTCGCCGTACAAATCCTTGAGAAGTTCTATCGTGTTCATCCATCGGAATGTACCAAAGCGATCATACGAGAAATTCCACAATTTGGAAATGTTACTTGGTTACATCTGGCCGTTATGGCCGAAGCGAAATTATTCATCGCACAACGAGCAGTACAAGATGTTCTCAGTAGCATTTGGTAAGACAAATTTTCGATTGAAATTGGACGTCAGATCAATCGGAATGTTTAGGTATGGGTACATTGATCATCGAATTGGAAAAATGAAGATCATATTTTCAACTTTTATGATTTGGTACAGTGGATTTCTTCCTTATCATAACGAAATGGTGGAGATTAATCATAGTACAACGTTTAGTAAAGTATAGTTATGACTGCAAATGACTTCGAATGTGATTCTTTTCGGATAGGGTTCGACGCATACGTCGAGTTTTATTCGGCACGATGTGTCAAGACTAGTTTTTCTGGTGGATAAGTAAAGTGCACTTTTTTTCGAAGGAAAATGGGTTATATTTTAATGAAAAATGATTAGGCAAACAGGTAAAGCTCAATGCAAGTTAATCGAAGACAAAAAGAACGAAGAACAAGAATGCGAAGATGCATCTTCAACAGCGACGTCGAAAAAGTATGGAGATATTCAGCGAAGATTATAAATAAATAATTAATGGCTTTAAGAATGATTCGATATTGCAGCAATGTCTCGAAGTTTTTCGCTGCGCCCTATGTGAATTTTCTTTACAACTTAGTAAGTTTTAGTTCCTTATATTTTTGAAATCAGAAAGTTTATCTTCTTAGTATTCACATATCGTATTTTTAATGTTGTTTTCTTACGTAATGCTGTGCGATTTCTTTCCGTTATACGATTTTCCATTGCATATATGTATCACTGGACTGAATGATACGAACTTAGTGGATCCGTAAGCGTATCTTGGGAGAATTATTTTTTAATTGCGAGGATTTTTTTCGCAGGAAAAATGCTAGTGAGTCTCAACAGTATAGTCTTCAAAAACGGTCTCAACCATCGATAACTGAGCTGGTCTTAACGTTCTGGATGTTCACTATTCTATGCGAAGAGATTCGGCAAATAATCGGCATGGAATTGAAAAGTATCCAAGGAAAAATGTTGGGTTATATCTCGATTTTTTGGAATAAACTCGATGTTCTGAGCGTTCTTCTCTTCTTCATTGCATTTTTTCTTCGATTTTATCAATCGAGTAGTTGTTTTTGTGCAGCGAGAATCATTCTCGCGATTGATTTATCTATTTGGTACATTCGAACATTGGATATATTCTCTGCAGTGAAAAAACTTGGACCGAAACTGGTGATGATCGGAGAAATGGTAATCGGTTAAAAGAACAAACTCGTTTTCATTCATTTATTTCACTTCAGGTTCATGACATGAAGTTTTATATGGTGATGTTAATAGTCTTCATCTTGGCATTCGCTGTTCCAGCGTATAGTCTAATGTACGGCGTGGATAAATTCACTTGGGATTTGCCTCGAAGCATCTTAAACATGGCGTATTGGGAAATTTTCGGCGAATTAACCATTCTTGACGAAATCGAAAGTAAATATTCACAATTTTTCATCATCTAACATCGATGTTTGCTTTCCAAGGAAATTACGATATCAGTGGATACGTTGTTTTCATTTTGTTGATCGCCTATATGACAATGACCAGTGTTCTTCTGATAAATCTTCTAATTGCGATGTTCAGCAATACATTTGATCGCTTACAAGCTGACACAGATTGCATATGGAAATTTCAACATTATTCACTAGTTTGTTATCATTTAACTCGTCCAACGCTGCCACCGCCATTGATTTTCATATCGCATATATGGCGATCGATTGTTTATTTGTTCGCACGGTATTCTCACATACAATGGTTCCATCAAAAACATATCCAGTTGAAAGACAAGGAGAAATTTCGTAAGGTGGAAAGGAGTGAATGATGCATGTGGTTCTTGTGTTGCTTTTTAGGAATTGTGACTGATGCGAGAGTAACGCGAAACATCGAAGCGATCGAAGATGCGTTGGGCAATGAAATTTATTACTTTTTTTCGAAGATCGATCGCAAACAAATGGATTATCGAACGGATTTTCATGAAGAACGAATGTATTTCTCTCCAATCTGTTTTTTTTCTTACGAATTTCTTTCGTCTTCTTTTAGACATTCGCCTCAGGAAGTTGTTCTAAACAAAATCCAAACTCTCGAAAGTCGAATCCGAACGATTCAATATCAAGTAAATGAACTTTATAGTTTATTATTCCATTCCATCTCGGTTTCTCTTTAGCAAGATGAAATGTTCGAATATTTTCAATGTTTAATGAATGGGATTAAAAAAATAGGTGGTGATGAAATCGAAATGCCAAAACGAACTCGTTCGAATTCCGGATTCATCTGATGTTTCTCATAATAAAAAGAATCGAAAGTACAATTAGTGATTTCACCGATGCGATCTTTGTCGATCTTGATGTTGACCGTTCTTCTTTTTCTTCTTCCGATGTCAGTAATTCGTAAACATAGAGCAGACGAACAACTTCTCTTCGTGCACTTAACAAAGCACTATGAGTGTAACCATACGCATCCGCGCTTGTTGCTTCACCTGCGAATAAGATTCGGTCGTGAACTGGTTCGGATAAATAAATCGGATCGTCATAATTTTGTTCGGTTGAAATATACGAGTACGAGCCAAAAGAAAACGGATCTTCGTACCAATTCGTAACATGAACTTCGCTTGGCGGAGGAATGACAAATCCCGGAAACATTTCCTGTAAAGTCTGTTGAAGCTCTGCAAGTAAAATACTTCGATTTTGTATTGATAAATATTCCGGCGTGCTTTTTCCAAAGAAGAAACAGATCAGTGCTGGTTTATCATTCCATTTATTCGCGTTAACCCAGTAACTCATTCGCATTGGATTCGATGACACTCGCGTGAAATAGAATTCCGTGGAATTCCACCACGCTCGATCCCATAGGAGAACAACATTTTCGAAAATGTTGTATCCGATCCGATCAATGGCATCTAACTTCCATTTAGGTAATGACGGAGAAAATTCGATCTGTTTTCTTTTCAAAACTCCTAATGGAACAGTTAGAAGAACATATTCGGCGTGGTAGAGGTGCCCATCTCGGGTTCTTACTTCAACTGATTGGTCATTATAAGTGATTTTCGAAACGATTTGATTTAGATGAATATGCGAAACTTTGTTCGATAAGTAATTGGTTACAGACATGAAACCATCCTTGTGAAAAATGTGTTCGTCACCGTAATGAACCGATGTAAGATCGAGGAAATTTTTCGCGCCAATGTCATTCAGTTCGGCGCCTTCGTTACTCTCGATGAGATGATTTAAATAACTGTAAAAAGCATTCTGTTCCTTGTTNGTGAAAAATGTGTTCGTCACCGTAATGAACCGATGTAAGATCGAGGAAATTTTTCGCGCCAATGTCATTCAGTTCGGCGCCTTCGTTACTCTCGATGAGATGATTTAAATAACTGTAAAAAGCATTCTGTTCCTTGTTGTTCAACTTCATTTGAGTAACAAATCGATTAGCGTAGTAACCAAGAGAAAGTTTGCTGGAATTCGTTCGAGTTTCTTCTCGGACAAAGGACATGTACTGATTAAACAATCGATCGGTGTCAGACACAGCTTCATTAGGTGGATAAATCTGTAGAATATCTTCAAATTCTGTCGGACGAGTTGAAAGTTTTGCTTCTTGAACAAGATCCCAAAGAGGATTTGTTAACAAACCACCAGGTATCGAACCGTGAATACCATGAATCCAAGTAGCACCGATATCGAGCATGTGACCTGACTGCGAACGATAAGACCAAACACGACCGCCGGAACGATTTCGTGCTTCAAGGATCATATATTTCACACCTTTTTGTTCCAACAAACGAGCAGCTTCTAAACCTGATAGTCCAGCCCCGATGATTAACACCTGAGTTAAATAATTCGCATTCGCTTTAGTCTGTCTTGACAAGTCATTTGTATCGACAATCGAATGGTTGAAATCACCATAAACAACAGCACAAAATGCCAGGAGATAAACAATATGTGCATGCATGGCAAAACTTCTCCAAGTACTCCAAGACACAGCACGTTTATATCATTTGACGAAGTATTTATCTTCTTCGCCATTGACATTAGTCTAAGGTCAATATTAAGAGACAAAATATCCTTTTGGCAAATGTTGCACGCTGTTTACTGGAAGGATTAGATTAATCGAGGACAGAGAAAGATATGATATGTCGATATGTACATAAGATTTTTCTAAAGCAAAGAAAATGTAAGTCACCGGAGACTTGGAAGAAATGATTGATAAATACGACAAAAGGTGATATTTGTAACAAAAGACAAGTTTAACAGTTTATCAAGTCCGACGCAATTCTAAAAGATCTGTTTGTATAACGCATGCTCGGAACTTTAGTAGTAAATGACATCACTGGGAAAAAACCATTCTCTTTCCAACTTGAGAAAAAGAATACACGTGTTTTTAATGTGAAGAAAAGAAACTGTTAACGATCATTCTTTTATCTTGATTCGTTTCGCGATAAACATATAAAAGGAAGGAAAATAAAGTTCATGCGATGACAAACATGGTAAGCTATAAAAAAAAACGAATTCGTCAAAATGCAACTCGTTCATATAGTTAACAAAACTTCTGTCAATGGTCACACCGAAAGAAGCATCGACATCTCCTTTCTACAAGCAACGACAAGGTGAATGTTCGATTTGCTCGGATAATGAGACTTTAGTCAATATTTCCAAAAAATGTACACATCTGGCAGGTTGTTGTGCTCCGTGTATAACACAATCAATTACAACTGATATTAATTCCAAGGGCTTATATGTATTTCGATGTCCGCTGCCGGCATGTAATGTAAAATTCGAACCGGAAGAATATTATCATTTGTTAGACCAGCGATTGATCAGTATAATCGATAATTTATTATTACATCGAGTTTTAGAAGCCGATGAAGAATTTCGATGGTGTAAATCAAGCAAAGGATGCGGAGCGGGTCAACTTGTTTCGAATCATAAACATTTACTTGGGTAAAATCCAACCTGTTATTCGTATGTTGGAAATAATTCGGCTTTCCTTTTCTAGATATTATACATGCCATGCGTGTGATCAGATGTTGTGCTTTCGTCATTCGATAGAATGGCACAAAGGTTATACGTGTGACGAATTTGATAAAGAACGCGCTGAAAATAATGAATTAGCGTCTGATGTAACTATTCTTGTTCATACAAAGAAATGTCCGAATGAATCGTGCGGTACACCGATTATGAAACATGAAGGTTGTGATGTGATGACTTGCTGCCGTTTCGGAACACATGCATGTGGCGAATCCAAAGGTGATTGTGATCATGGCGGCCGTAATTATTGTGGACAACGGTTCTGCTGGGTTTGTCTGGGAAAAATCGATGTTGATAAGAAAACATCGCATTTGATACGACATTGCAAACCAAATTGCAAATATTTCTCGTTAAATTAATAGATTTTCGTACCTGAACGATTAAACAAGATTTTTTTCGCTTTTATTCTCACGTTTTGTTTACATTGCAGCACACTGTTCTAGATGTTCTACTTAGGAAGTTAACCATGACCAAAAACGTACAGTTGGAGGACGTTGAAGTATGAAAATATTCGTATGAGCTCTATAAATTCATTACGTATAGCTAAAGCACAACGGATCAAGATCAATGGATTCTGCTGTGGTTCATCGGTCCTGTCTGGTTCTTACATTGCGTATGTCGTCGAAGAGTGACAGTCTGCCTACGGAGAAGATTGTTGACACGGATCCACAAAGTTCAAATTTATTAGAAGTTAATAAATGCGAAGATAAAGCAATCGAAGGCTCGGTAAAGATGTTTTTCTGAAATCGAATTGATTCTGCATGTGAATATTCTTTAGATTATTGAACCAAGTTGTGAAGGTATTCGAGAACGAGTTGAATTACTTGGAGATTTGCTGAAGATTGACAAATTGAATTCAATATCTGATGTTTATGACGAAATGGCGCAGATTCTTGCAAATATCGAACGAAATCAACGTTTACAAGTAGGCCCAGATGGAGAATGTCTTCTACAATTGGCAACTGCAGCAAAAAGTAATCGAAATATTGATTTGTATAATTTTGACAATGAGATTCAACGCCAATTCGGACTTTATTCCGTTGAAGTCATCGGTGATGGTGTAAGATAACATTTTTCTTTTTCCACTTTGTTATTGTCGTTTATTTCTATCAGTCATGTGCATTTCGTGCTATTCTTATATCGGGTAACATGAATCCATCGTATGTTCAATTGAAATACTTATATTATCTATGCTTGTTCAGGTATGAAAAAGCCAGATCGGTCCTATAAAGAATTACGTGAACAAGCTATCCAACAAGTTTTACAGAACGTACTCTACTATTCAACTGTTTTACGTCCTGGAGAAACAGCTAGTGAGAAAGAGATTGAAGCTTGGGCGACCTCTATGGCTGACCCATACACATATGCAGATGAGTTAGCCAATATTGCTCTGGCAGATCGATATCATGTCCAATTGGTAATTTTTCGTGCTGGGGAGTTACTGACAGTTATTAATCCACGTGATGAACATGTAGAATGTACAGCATTTCTTGTCAATGTTGGAACACATTACAAAGCGCTCGTATCTCGAAACGAACTCGACGATGCGCAGAGAAATTCCGAACGCCTTCATAAGTCAAGCGAATAACCTGTATGAGAGTAAATATTGGGCAAATTTTCATAATATATTTCTTCTTTCATCATATTAGAAACATTTTAATTAGGCAAAGAAACGACATTTTTCTAACAAACACGTTATGAATTGCCTATTTTTATTTTAACAATGCTTTCCAAATTATTTGAATTCTGACTTCTTCTGCTTTTAAAATAAACATGAGCACGTTTGCAGTAGAGATACAACTGCGTCGACTGATGTGAAAAAACTATACAGAACAACGGGTGTGTTGTTTAAAAACATGCTCTTAAAGCGTTCATAAAGCATACGAGCAATGTTTGAAATAGTTGCTTTCCTCGCCATACTTTCTCTGGCTCATTCTCTCTCTCTCAATCAAATTCAACAAGCAAGATTGATTGCAGATGTTTCCAAAACGATCTCTAATCAATCTCAACAACAATGCATTTGTCAAATGATCACTTCATTTCCATTTATGTCTGCATTAAACTATTTGTCGACAAATCAAACATGTCAATTGTTTTCTTCGAATTTAATTCTAGCTAATCTCGATTTAGATGTGGATTCGACAATCATCTATACAAATGGATCGATCGTTTCACACGTGTTTCGTGAGTCGAAGAGTGCGGTGGAGGCTGGACATGATAGTCTATGTTTGTTGTTGAGAAATAGTTGTAAAGAGAAAAATAATCAAAATAATGAGATGTTTCAAAGACGTTGTAGAGGCATATTGTCGTTGTATTTTCTAGTTGATCAATCTCTCCCTAAAACACTAGAAAGATCTTGTTTGAGTCATAGTTGAAGTTTGTTTTGTATTGCAAATAGAAACAAGCCCAACTTCGTCGTCTTCTACATCAACGTCAACTACAACAGCTCAGATAGGTGAGTTCTTGCATTTAGGAAATGAAAGTAAGAGATAAACGTGCTCTCTGTGAAGATACAAAATGCTTGAAATAGGATTTGTTTCATGCAGTGCGTTTACTTTGTTTAGGATGGATAACTACGGGAAATATGAGTGTTGCTCGATATTTACATACAGCAACTCTTCTGGCCAATGGTAAAGTACTAGTTGCTGGTGGAAGCAACGGTACTGCTTCTTTGAGCACTACTGAATTATATGAGCCAGCAACAGGAACATGGCGAATGACAGGAAACATGAGTAAGGTTCGACAATCTCATACAGTTTCTGTTCTACCAAGTGAACAAGTCCTGGCGGTTGGCGGATACGATGGAAATGTTCCGTTGAACAGTGCTGAGTTATATGATCCATCAACAGAAACATGGACGAGCACGATGAGCATGAACACTGCACGATATTATCACACAGCATCTCTCCTTTCAAATGGGACTGTTTTAGTTGCTGGTGGATTCGGCACTACTGGTACTTTGAATAGTGTTGAATTGTTTGATCCCTCATCTGGAATATGGACAACGACAGGAAGTATGGCATTTGCGCGATACTCCCATACAACATCTGTCTTAAAAAATGGCAAAGTCCTCGTTACTGGTGGAATAGCCAGTGTTTCGTTGAACAGTGCTGAGTTATATGATCCGTTAACTGCAACATGGACGAGTACGACAAACATGAACACTGCACGATCTTATCATGCAGCATCTGTTTTACCAAATGGAAACGTGTTAGTCACTGGTGGAACAAACAGTGGTGTATATTTAAACAGCGCTGAAATATACGATTGGTCAACAAACACGTGGATGGTTACAGCAAATATGAGTATTACCCGATGTAATCATGTAGCATTAGTTTTATCAGATGGAAACGTGTTAGTCACTGGTGGTCGACTTAATCCCAGTACTGCTTCGAATAATGTCGACTTATACAATTCATCAACTGGCAGTTGGAAAATGGTTGAACCTATGAATATTGCACGACGATGTCACACAGCATCTGCATTGCCTAACGAATTTGTGCTTGTTACTGGCGGACAAATACCAAAAAGCAACATCTGGAATAGCGCTGAACTGCTTCGATAAACATTCATTGTAACACTTTTTCAAATAACTCAATCTTGACTGCTTTTGCAATCTTCTTATTTGCTTCAAATAAAAACATTCGAAATAAAGATTTTTCTTTTCGAAGTGCACATATCGTAAAATATTTTTAATCGGCTGAATCACATAATGATTCGTTAAACTGTAGTTATTAAACAACGTCAATCAATAGTATTCCATTCTGGTTCGGTGAATTGTATGAATAATTGTTTCGGAGAACACTTTCAGAATTTCATTATCGTGCTTATGCTAATCACAATAATTTGAGAAGACATAGAAATAGAAAGTCCAAAATGATGATGTTTGATGGAGATTTCGCTGTCCAAAGGTGAATTCTTGCTCTTTGATAACATCGTACTCTACGATTGCTGTAACCACATTTCGCGCCCAAACTTAGAGATATTGTCTATTTTTCATCATAATTATGTTGTGTTTTTCGTAATGTCATTTATATAAGATTTCAATTTTTCGTCCGTCACATTGTAGTCGTGATATCTCTCTCGACTTAAACTCAACTATAGGGTTTCTCAGATGATTGTTTATTACCTTACTTATTTTGTGTGGCTTTACACGCAAGTATTCTATATTTCTCCTTTTCGGCATACGAGTAATATCCTTGCCCAATAAAATGCATGACGATTATTCTTTTTCCAAGTTATTTTCAAAACAGTATACAGCTACAGCGTCTGTGTCTTGATTGGTATTATCGAAGTTGATTTTTTCTGGGTATAAGAGAAATGACAACTAGTAGATAGAAATATCGCTGTGCGCACTGCGTTAAGTGTCGGATAGAAATCATCGAAAGACAATGAGATGCGCGTCTGCCGAAGGCGCTCTTATTAAGAATGATGTTTATTTCTCTGATGATACAAGTCGAGTAACAGACCGAAAAATATTCTCATTTCATAAATTGGTTGGCACATCGGATGATATTTTGATGTCAATTCACGTGTAACATTTTCCTATAATCAAATATTAAAGTTAAATTATACCGACACACAAGAAAATGCAAATATCACTCAATCTCATGAGCATACTTTCTCGCTCATCGCGTCATCTCTCTCTCTCTCTACCTGCTTATAAGAGACTTACAAGTGGCTTCCAAATCAGCACGACGCTGTTTTGGCATTTCGATATCGTCACCGCCAATCTTCTTGATTCCATTCATTAGATATTCCAAATATTCAAACATATTGCTTTGCTATAGAAAAACAATACAAAGTAACTTAACAGGTGAAAACATATAGTTCATACATGATTTTCTATTGTTTGAATTTGATTTTCGAGAATTTTGATTTTGTTCAAAACGATTTCTTGTGGAGAATGTCTACGCAACGAAAATTTGAATTGTGTCGTGTTAAGAAAAATGCTTTTTCATTACACTCGTTGTTCGTTCAAGTCATTTTGACGATCAATTTGTTTGCGATCCGTTTTCAATGACAGATAATAAACTTCATTTCCTATGGCATCTTCAATCCCTTCAATTTTCTTCGTCAATGTTTCGTTCACAACAATTTCTGTACAAAGAAATACAAAAATACTCTCTTGCATCTATATGAAGGCTTATTTTTCATACTAAATTTTCCTTGATTTTGATGTTGAATGTATTTCTCTTCAAACCATTTGATATGGAACATATGTGAAAAGCAATAGATGCTTATTTGGTAGATATGCGAAAAGATCACCAATGGTGGTGGAAGACACGGACGTGTTAAATAATGCGAAACTAATGAATAGTGCTGGAACTTCCATATACAATCCGTGTCCATATGTAATCGATCAAATGTGTTACTTTAGGGCGAAAAGAGAACGGAAAGGTCATATTTTGCAGAAAAAGATGTTTTACCTGAACATGGCAATAAGAAGATTGATCAAAAGAACACTCGCAACAGTCATGTATGCAATTAGAAGGAAGAAGACAACATAACCACCAATTTCGTAATTTCCTACAAGCGAAAATGTTCGATTTGTTAACCGATTTTTTGGAAGTTTACTTTCAATCTCGTCAATGATGGTTAATTCACCGAATATTTGCCAATAAGCTATATTAATTATTGCTCGCGGTATGTGCCATGAGAATTTTTCTACACCATACATTAAACTATACGTCGGTACACCATATGCTAAGATAAATACAGTTAACATCACCATATAAAACTTCATATCATAGACCTAAAGTAGAAAACATAATGAAATAAGGTACGTGTTGCGTTTTGGGTTTACCATTTCTCCTATCATAACCAATTTTGGTCCTAAACGTTTGACTGCAGAAAATGTGTCCAACGTTCGTATGTACCAAATAGATAAATCAATAGCTAGAATAATTCTTGCAGTACAAAAACATTCACTAACAGGGATAAATCGAAGTACAAATGCAATGAAGAATAATAAGATCGCCAATACATCTAGTTTGTTCCAGAATATGTCGATATATGCAAACAGTTTGCCAAGAATCGATTGAACTTCCATTGCAAATATCTAGAATCACGCCATGACAATGATATAACTAATCCGCAGTCTGAAGTGTTTTTTACTTGACGAATTTCTTCACAAAGCAAGGTGAACATCCATACAATAAGAACTATTTCAGTTGCGCTCGGTCGAGTGTGCTGCTGGTAACCATATTGTACTCGAGGGTTTTCTGTGGTTGTCTTATTCAGAATCGACCGTTTTCTAACTCGACGTACGGACATTTCAGTAGTAGGATCATCATCATCGGAACTTATAAGACATTTGCCCGATACAAAATCGTACAATGGAAAAAAATCAAATAAGATAACATAAGAAAACAGCATTAGAAAGATCATATGAAAGTACTGCAAGAAGAACATAGAATCTCGTAATAATTAGTTGAAATACTTGGTAAACTTACGACACTATACAGATATTTTATACATGGAGCATGAAGAAACATCAGAACATTTTTCAAATATTGGTTGGTAGAGCACTTTAATCTGAAACATATCATCTTCGTTCGAAAAAATCAACTGCTTTAGACAAGATACCTTTTCCAGGAATTGTTATTTCGAACAACAACCGAATGTTCTTCTTCATCTAGATTATCATCCATCAATTTTGCACATGCTGCATCTGGCGACCTAACATAAATGAGTTAAAATCTCCATTACCATAGCATTTTCTAACTTACCCTTCTGATTTCGATGCTGATCGTGATGAACGTATTGAGAAAAGACTGAATTCATCGTCATAATTCTATGAAAAACTCATCAAACAAAGTCCAATAAGAATGTCATTCTAAGAAACTTACATAATGTTTATCGGCTTTATCACTACCTTCGACTAATTCTTTATGATAAGGAAGAAATCCGCTGTAGAAAAGCAGAAAGCTAGTCATAACAATTTTCTTATTTCCAACTCGATGATCAATATAACCATACCTAACGTTAAAACTGTTGAAAAAGAAAACAACGAAAGTAAAATTTGATGTTTATACCAAATATCACTAAGAACATCTTGTACTGCTTTTTCTGCAATAAACAATTTCGCTTCAGCCATAACAGCTAAATGCAACCAAGTAACATTTCCAAATTGTGGAATTTCGCGTATAATTGCTTGAGTACATTCAAATGTATTTGTTACATAAAACTTCTCGAGAATTTCCACAGCTAAACTTTGAAATTCATCAGCCCATTCAATGTAATGCTCGTCCTTTTCTTTTCGTGCTTTGCTCTTGTACAGCAATGTTGCAATCAATGCTGCACCTATATGCATATTCCATCGTTGTGAAAAGCTATCGAAACACTTATTCACTTACAGATTTTGTTCTTTCCTCGAGCCCAAAATAATAACGCTAGATCTTGTTTACCAGTAATTACTGACCAAAGAAAAAGTTCTTTTTCGGCATCGAGCGCACTCATCATCGATGATGAATCATCTTAATCAATCAAGTATAACAAAAGAAAAAGACAAACAAACGCGTTAGGTATATTACTCAATGAGCAATCGTCGCAATCAAAAATTGCATCAGCTTGAAAGAAATCACCGATCAGTGGTTGAATTATTTCATGATAAATCGATCGTAATGGATGATTAAGGTTATCTGTTATTTGATAATTCTAACAAGACAAACATGCTGTTTATTTTTGCGTTTAAAAGTTTTCCACTAGATATTCACCTCAGTTTCGTAAAGGGCTATTAATCGATTATCATCATCTTGAAAGAGATCATCCAATGGAAAATCATGATCGAGAAATAATTGAATAAAACTTGCTTGGTTTTGCTGAAGGGCTTTAATGAATAAATCACTAACATCAATTGTCTATGAAACAAGCAAGAAAAAAACACTCGGATTAGAAATAGAATTATTCTCCTGAATTGAGATTACCTTCCAGTCTCTTTCATCTTTCATAATAAAATTTTTCACAATATCAATTCGTTTCCATTCAAATGCTAAATTTAATTGTTCACGTCGATACTCATTGTTCACGTTTGATGAATCGTTTTCTGATGTCACTAGAAGAACAAATGAAAAAAAAACACTTATAGTTGTTTTTAGTTAAAAGCTTAGAGATGCAATTTATAACCATTGAGAAGTGCTTGAAGGATAGCCAAATCTAAATCGGCTTCCGTAGGACTGTGCAGTTTTAAATCGATAAAATTCAAATAAACTCTTCGTGTATGAATACACTCATAGATGAGCTGAAAGTAATCAGTTCCATCCGTTGCATTTGATGTTTCCGTACTTGAACTTGTGTTTAATTTCGAATCGTTTATCTGCAACTTTTCTCGAAGTTTTGTCTTCACAAATTCAGTTTTCTCATTGACGGACAATGAATGATCACTAAGAGCATTCGCCAAAATGAATGATTTCTCTTTCCTAAAATCTCTTTTCACAAACCTTGTTTGTTCATTTGTTGTCACATTTGAATCGTATTCGTCATACAAATGCATGAATTTCCCAAATAAATCACAACAGCCACCGGTTCCTTCCAAGAGCACGACAGGAATTTGATTTTTCATCACTGTTTCATGAACTAGCGAACAAATATTAAATGAAACATATTTGAACTCTTCTTATAGCAAACTTTTTTTAATCGTATCAAATCCACCTTCGATCACGATGAGAACTACCGGAATATTTCCTAAATTCAAACGATAACAATATACTTCAGTAGCAAAGTAACTTTTTACTCGTGTGTGTTGACTTTTGCTTCGTTGAACTTTGTAAAAAACAGGATTCGCCTGATATGGATTTTTCAAATCGTCCTCGAAATTGTACTTCGCCGCCGAATTGTTGTTTCGTTCCATCATCGATAAATATAAAATGCGCATGATTTCGTTCCAGTGAACTCTGATTGTTCTCATTGGTCTTTGGTTTATTGTACACGACATTGACTCCATGTACATCGAGTTGCTCAACGCCAGAAACACATCCCCACGGTGCGATCCCCTTTATTTTTATTTGAAAACTTCAATCGATTTCATAATCAATTTCTTACAATCAAGTGAATAGGCCGGGATGGGTCAGGATTTGTTCGGCTAATTTCTCCTATGAGCTTTGTTACACTTGTACTAATACCATTTGTCAATAACCAAACATCTAAAACTATTGCAATTAGATCGATGCTTTCAACGCGAAACTAATTTATACCAGTTGTCTTAGCGACTTTGAGAAGACCTTGACGAAACGTTCGAAATAGTTTCGATTTCATACTATACTCTCTAACGCTGCCTGTGACAGATATCACAAGTGCTGGTCTCTATTGGAAAGATAAAATTGTTTATTTGACCGACAAAGAATGAGTTTATGTTACGTGATGTTGCCGCTGTCGAAAGAATAGTTCTCTCACTTGTGTTGGCGGAGCATCTGGAGGTATCCGAATAAAATTTGCACGATTAGAATAATTTCTACGAACTACAATATAAATCAATATGTGTTTTTATTTACAGAACTCTCCGTCGTTCATACAAGTTATGGTTCCATAGGATTTCGCTCCGAGTGTAGCGAGTAACTAAATAGAAACCGAAATAAGTGGAAATACAGAGAATATACACGGAAGTTTATTTACAAAATTACTGGATGAACGATTAAATTTCGATAAATTCACGAAGGGAATGTTCAACGATTGATTTGGTACTTGTTTCTGCTGCATACTTAAAGGAGAAAACGTGCTTTAGTTATTCGAGTACAATTTTTTTTTATTCGGATGAGTATCGAGAAGTAAGAAGAAATCAGGTAGAGAAGGTAAGAAGCTTAATCAATACTATGTAAACATTGATTGTGTTTCTTCTCGAAGAAATGGGCGAATATACATATAACGTCTTCTGCATGTGCATGTTAATTTACTTTTCTTTTTCGAAAAATGTAAATGATACGAAGCGTATCATCGTAAACTAGATATTATTAATATATTTGATGTATTAAAGGTAAATGTAATTATTCACTTATCTATGTTTATCAAAAAAAAAAGACTAGAAAAGTATCAAATTTAATGTTGACTATTTACAGGAAACTCTGTGTTTTTATGCCGTGGATATAAACTATGTTGAATCAGACATCGACAGTCTTTCAAATGTTTGTGAAAGACAGCAATTAGAATATGATTGAATCTGCTTGAAACTCACAATGTCAATCGTGACGGTGTTATATACTACACAGCATGATACCTTGCATGGATAAGAGTAAATGATATGTGAGATTCTAAGCTACTAAATTAGTGAGTTATCAAACAAACGATAACGTATACATTTCGATGTTTAGCATTGCCGAAAAAGAAAGTCGTTGACATTGAAGTGAAATTTAGCCTTATGTTGATACTTTCAGTCTAAACAGACTGAATACAATAGAATTAAACCGGAATGCATTTGTGTAAAGCCTCCGCAGTTACCTATCAGATCAAAAATTGATTGTGCTTCAGAAAATGTTGTAGAAAGAAATGATAACATTCTCACAATGGATCTACTTGAGCCACAATTAGAAAGTTGTCATGCCAACTGAACAAATCTGTTCTTTTTGTTGAATATAAAAACTACTTTGAAATTGAAGTGGTAACTAAACGTAGAAAAATAAATGTTAGTTTGATTGGATGAAATTTGTTTAGTCGAACTTACTACTAGTCGGATGACGGAAAGCAGTGGAATAATTTTGTTAGTAAAGTTTATTAGAGATGTATGTGAGAGTGAGAATGGATTTCGCCGACTCTGTAGTTGTAGTTAACAGTAATCACACGCTCAAGATGCTATTTTGAGATGAATCGTCATTGACGTTACCTGTTTGGTTGACACTTATCATCAGTTAAACATGACAAAAAGAGAAATAATATTCGTTCGTAAACAACTTCATGTTTATCCAATCTTGATATGTCTGACGTAAATAATCTCGCATTATACTCGATGATCAGCAAGCATAACCATTATAAACGTTAGCACTCTTGTGACTGACTCCACGTGTCTCACAAAGGATGATATAAGTGATTTATTTCGTATTCTTTTTTCTCTCGTTACTCATGACTTACCAAGAATATCTTTTGTATTCAAAGGATAGTAAAACGTATTGAGTCAGTAAAACAGATACAGTGCATAGTTTAGCATCTCGTTCGTTTCAATACGTCAGATGATGAAAACGCACGACAAGAAGTTAGCAGAACTGGCGACAACTAACTACGATCAATTTGAACTACGAAATACTTCGTTTACTGATGAATACTTCAATGACAAACGGCAACTATTAGGCAAAGGTTGCAATACAGAAGAGAAGATTCAAACTACAGTTTGCACCTGTGGCCATTCGAATCAATTGAGATCAAGAAACCATCGAGGAATAGATGTTATTCCTAATGATCGAATTTTAAACCAAATGAATGCTATTAACGATATTATCGCAAATCTTGACCCAATTATTGGATACGCCGAAGAGCCTCTAGTATCTTTAACTGAAGCATGTGCACCATTGGTTACTATTATAGACAATTTATCGATTTATGTTCAGCAAGCGTTGAATGAAACAGGCAAATCACCAGCGGATCGGCTAACAGTCGATGAAAGTGCTGCTATTCGTTTATACACATTTGAATGGGAAGATGGACATTGTAGCCTCTACGCAGCACTTAATCGAACACTGAAAACAGATGCACGTCATAACTTGCGACCTTATTTTAAATATCTCAAATTGTTCTTAACTGCACTTGCCAAACTATCTTGCGTTCCTCCGCTCGTGCTGTGGCGAGGCGTCACGAAAGATTTAAGCGTTCAGTTCCCACCTGGAACATCAGTTATCTGGTGGAGTTTTACATCATGCACAACATCGTTACCTGTGTTACAAAACAATATGTATTTGGGTGATGATGGAAAACGAACATTGTTTTCCGTCGAAGCTATTAATGGTCGAGATATACGAGCGCATTCACATTTTGTCAATGAAGATGAAGTTCTTCTTTTACCTGGTACTCAAATGATCGTCCAATCACAGTTTAGTCCAGCACCTGACCTGCACATCATTCATTTGAAACAAATTGTACCAGAAGAAATACTACTGGAACCGCCATTTCCGGGTACTACAGAGATATCATTTCTCGATTATAGAAACTAACCGTATGTTGATATTTAGGTGCATGTCTTTATCCTAAAACACGGTAAGTTTAATTACGTACTTTTTGAATTGTAGTGTATACGTACATTCGCTATTATACGTATGTACCAGATACTCCTGGTATCGAAAGAAGCGATTCGTCGTTCCAATATGTTCGTTAACTATTTTGCTTATCACAGCGATTATTCTTGGTTCTGTGTTAGGAACCAGATCTTCAAGTAAGTTCCGATATTACGTTTCATCAACACTTTTTTTATCAATGACGTCGCGAGTGACGGAGTTGTTTTTCTCCATTACTAGAATCTACTTGCAACAGACCATTCGAAGCATCCAAAAAGTATTCCGTTGGAAGCAATCCGTCTTATGTAGCACTTGGTCACTTCAGAAACGACAGGGAGATAGATATTGCAGTAACTAATCGAGAAGTCAATTCCGTTACTGTTTTGTTTGGTGATGGGCACGGTACTTTCAAATATCCATGGCTCTATGACGTTGGCCGTGGTCCACTTTCTGTTCTATCGTATGATTTCAACAGTGATAAGAATATGGATCTTGTCATAACCAATCAATACAGCAACACGATTGGTATTATGCTTGGAAATGGTGACGGATATTTTCGACCGATGCAGAATTACGATGTTGGGCAACATCCAACTTACACTATAGCAGCCGACTTCAATAATGATACTACACTCGATTTAGCGGTAGTCAATTCTGGAGATAACAACGTTAATGTACTGCTGGGTAACGCAGATGGGACCTTCCGAAGGTCTTCTAATTACACGGTTGGTTTATCTCCGACGTCAATTGTGTCAGCTGATTTCAATGGCGATGCTTATTTTGATTTAGCAGTCACTAATTCTAATGACGACAGTATAAGTGTGTTACTGGGTAATGGAAACGGAAGTTTTCGCGATCAGCTGAAATATTCAGTTTCGTCAGGTCCATACTCAATTGTAGCAGCTGACTTTGACAATGATCACAGAATCGACCTAGCAGTGGCCAATCAAGGAGACGACACTGTTAGTGTATTACTTGGCATAGGTGACGGTGCTTTTCACAGTCCAAGGAATTATAGTGTTGGTCGGATGCCGCAGTCTATCATAGCAGTTGACATAGACAATGACAGAAAAGTAGATTTAGCTGTTGTTAGTTATGCTGACGCCACTCTTAGTATATTGCGTGGTAATGGAGATGGAACATTTGAAACACGTAAAGCATATACAGTTGGCAAGTTTCCTTACTGTGTCATAGCGGCTGATTTCAACAAGGATAAGATAATGGACTTCGCAGCAGCGCTGTACACTGACAAGATGATTACTATCTTGCCAGGCTTGGGAAATGGCACCTTTGCCAATCGACTGAACTACACCGTTGGTCGATATCCAGCATCTTTGACTTCAGCTGACTTCAATAATGATAATCAACTGGATTTAGCAGTAGTTAACTACCGTGACGATA